CTAATTTTTGATAATTAACACTTTTCACCGTGAAGCAAGCATCTGACAAATCTGGCTCTCGAACCGAAAATGTCCGAAACTAAATTTTACATATTTTATCTGCTGGCGCCAACTTCGTGGCGATCTGAAAAATGGGTTTTTGACAACAAAAAGGATAAAATGGAACCAGAAAAGTCATGCACTCCAAACAGTATCTTGTATCTATAGAAAATATTTTAGCTCTGTTACATGTACATCGATATATGAAATCTTGGTTCAGCTCGTCTATTTCGATTCATTATACGTCCCACATACGTATCTTCGAAATACATAATTAAATCTACAGAAAACAAATATTGCTGTATTGCATACGTAACAAATATTGTATCACATACTTTGCAATACGTATTACTTTCAAACAATTTTCGCTAGAAGTTTTCGCGGTCCGGATGTTGAATCGGATTTCCTGCAAGCCCTAGCACTGGCACCCGGTGGCTATTGGTAGCCTTGAAAACGAATGAACTATCGGTAATCGATCATGCTGAGCCTTGTGCCAATATTTGTTTTTAGAAAAAGTTCTAAAAGTCTACCGAAAAGCGAGTTTTACAAAAATTTGAGTTTTCAGGCTGTTTTTACCTGTATTAAAAAATTCACTATTCACTCAATAAACATCAGAACGAGTTCAAGGCTTCAGAATGTAGAGTATTTAAGCTATTCTATATCCTATTTATAGGAGATCTCAAAAGAAATTTTACAAAACTCTAAGGTTTCCTAAAAGGGTTTCTGGAAAACCCGTTGACACAAATATGCCTTTTCGATTTCTTCGATCTTATAATCATATTTAGCGGAGAAAATTAACCATAGCCTGAAGGTCTGAGCTAGTTCTGATGTTTATTGAGTGAATAGTGCATTTTTGAATAGAAGGTGGAAACAGCCTGAAAACTCAAAATTTTGTAAAACTCGCTTTTCGGTATACTTTTAGAAATTTTCTAAAAGCAAATATTGACACAAGACTCAGCATGATCAAGTACCTATAGTCCATCCGTTTTCAAGGCTACCAAAAGTCACCGGGTGCCAGTCCTGGGACTCGCAGGAAATCCAACACAACACCCGAGCCACGAAAAATCAAGGTCTCGCCTGACTCTCATTTTGAAGAGGATACCTTGGCCTGTCATAGCATGGAAGAAAATCAATACAATCCTACTGAAAACTTTTTACACACGGCCTGGTTTACCAAGGATTTCCTAGAAAACCTGTTTCAGAAAACATCTGTTCCGGAAAAGTTTATGCTTGTGACAATATGTCAGCAAGCCTCTTCTTTTGCATGGCGAAGGTTGGAGCTTTCTAGCTACTTTCTATCAAATGTTATTCAAAAAACATCCGAGTTCATTCTTCTAAGTCTATTTACTGACAATACTCAGAGATTGTATAGCTCTTGGAAAAAATCAAATTTCTCAGCCAATATAGGACCAAGTGTTGGAAAGTTTTTTCTCCATAAACCTCGAAAGTAGTACTATCTGATATATGATTCAGAATTTTTTTATTCGCAAATTATTTTTTTCCGTTTTATTTTTCAAAACGGTACATTGTCAATGCAACTCACTCATTTATATATAAGAAGAAAGGTAGGAAAGAATGCTAGTAGAAATCAAAATTTGACTTTCTCCATAGGGCAATTTTAAATTCCTCTGACGTAAGGAGTATTTCATTGATAGTTTACATACTGATATTGTTGTTATTTAATCGAAAGAAAAGATAATTGTCAAACATGAAAAAGGGCAGGGTTTATAAAAACAATTTGTACTTGTAATCATAGACATTTTGTTTTTGTACAACATAAAACATCTTTAGCTTTACATGAACAAGCTTTGGTGGAACACGTAGACTGATAATTACAAGCTGGCAATTACCATATGCCACATCTACATCGTCAATTTTCACAAATTTAAAATCTTTTTAACCCAAAATGTAGACTATCCATTACCTTTATTATATTTCAAAACTGTTATCATATCATTATACGTTTATCGTTTTATTGTATGTTTTGAACGATATCCTTCAGAGAGATTTTGAACATGAGAATCCAACTTTTCATTAAACGTCTCTACTAATAAAACGCATATTTTATACACGTAATAAAATGGTTCTCGTTTTCAAATTGGTTGATTAGCTTTCTATGTTATGCAGACGTGTATACAAATATGATAAAGATTAATCTTATTAATAAAGAAAGATTCATCTTAATAATAAAGATTTGTCTTACGTCAATATTTGTAAATAATGTATAGGAAACGAAAAGAAAAATTTTAGATGCGCAAACATTTTTTTTCATCATACTACACCGGCAAGACAATATTTTTGTTTTAGATTTAACGCAAACATCAGTAGACGTGAATAATATTTTAATCAAACGAAAGAGACATACATTACATGGCACTGAACACTTCTCCAAGCGACTTTTATCTTTCATGTCGTATGGGTGATATTAACAAAGTTAAGCAACATTTGAAATCAATGACATTAGATGATATAAATCGATTAGAATCAAATGGTAGTACAGCACTGCATGCTGCGTGTTATTATGGTCACTATAATATTGTACAGTTATTACTTGATTACGGTGCTAGTAGAACAATTACGAATAAACACAAATGTTTACCGTATGAAGAAGCAAAAATTAACGAAACAAAACAACTATTTGTACGGCCAAATGGTTGGGACAGATTTGTAGGTGGCACTGATCAAACGGGTTTAATTGAATGAATTAAAGTTGATTCAACAGTGGCAGAAGATTCAATTGATAAACGGTTATGGTTAAGAAAATATAGTAATGCAGAAGAAAGCAAAGCAATAATCGATCGAATAAAACGAGACTATATGAATAGGTGATTTATAGACAGCGCTGATTTTCCTCAAATTGAGTGGTACTTTACTCAAGCCTTAAAAGAGGACAATTTGATTCATCTACTAAAAGTATATACAGCTGAAACGGATTATTATAAACAATTGAATTTAGATTTAGTAGCACGAGAACTTGATGTTTGGAACTCATTGAGTATTGAACAATCGATCGCTTCAATGTTTTTGTGGTGATTCGAATTTGCGCCAGTATGAATTTTTAGGTGAGACATATCGAGGAATAATAATGAATAACGATGATCTACTGCATTATTCTGTTGGTTGTCGTGTTATGAATAAATCCTTTATGTTGACCTCTAGAGATCGTTCAGTGGCTGAACAATTTTCAGTTGATCTTGAACGACTGCGTCAAGATCAATATGGACATCCACTACTATCAATAAGAAAAAATTACTGATGATCGAAGTTGGACTAAGAGAATGTATGTCATATAAATATAAAGAAAAGTACTGAACTTACTAATTACTATATTCGTAATTTAAAGGAAAAGTAGAGAAAAAATCAGTTTTACAGTATTTTCGCTTTTTCTAATACTATTTGCATAACCGTGAGTTCGCACTTCGCTAAAAAGATTCGCCTCCCACTAAGGAATTGAATGATGTATCAAATGTTGAAAACACGCTTTGCCTTTACAGAGCTACACTTGTTTACATCACCGAGCATTCTTAACCAAAAGTCTGACTGGGCATTTTCTTGATAAATTGCAGTTTTTGTACGAAACAAGTGTTTACTCCACTCTACGACAATAAAAGTGCAAAACTTGAAGTTTCATCGAAATACTTTGCAAAATTTTGATCTAATTTACCGTCTTCTAATTTGGCACATGAATTTTGTGATGCTATTGGATGTTGCTCATGAAGGTGATCATCTTGCGAATGAAATACCATGTTTTTCGATTTTTCTACAAATCGACCTCGTTCTTGTAGATTAGTTGGTGATGCAATTTTCTATATCGACGTCCTTGTCTTACCAGCTCCATCTAACAGAAATGTAGGTCTCATAATTAAACCATCACCTTTTATTGTTTCATGAGCGGTCGGGTTTCATAACTTAGGTCTTAGTAATATCCGGTATTTTCTCATACTTATCTGAATAACTTTTGGATCTACTGTGACTCTCAGTCTGAAGATCTACAGTTATAGCATAGTATCCTTTGATCTGCATAACTCAATCAATTGGGTATTACTAACACCCACGAACATCAACCAACACCCCTAAACTAAAGTCCGAGATAGACCTGTTCTTTGTGAATAAAGTAACATCAAACGAACACCGAAAAAATTTATCTCAAAGAGGATCCTTTATGGCTTTTTGTTAGGAACACCCACTAATATCCAAAAAAAGTGACGCAAACACCCAAAATAATATGCCAGAATAATCGCCATCCTTTGTTGAGCCTACTAGATCATTTTTGAATCCTTTGTCAACCGTTGCTTCCCTTATTTTTCATTTTTCTCGTCCACCATACTAGTTAGAACAAAGGACGGGGCTTATAAAGGTCAAACTTTTCCCTTGATATTTCTGAACAAGAGTTACATATTCAGAATCAGCGTGAAATTCTGCGTCGAATGTGGTATATGGCACCTTGGAAAACCCATT